TCCCTGGGGAGATTCCAGAGCCCTCTGGACACAATCCTGTGCCCTGTGCTCTGGGCTGGCCCTGCCTGAGCAGGGAGGTGGCACCAGTGACCCACTGGGGTCCCTTCCAGCCTGACCCACCCTGGGATCCTGTCCCTGTCCTGTTCTCAAAGCACCCCCGGGCAGGGTGGGACTGGGGAGAGGCTGAGGCTCAGCAGGAACACCAGCAGTGGTGTGAGTGCTCTGAGTGGGAGGACAGGGAGGTTATTTTTGAGCTCTTTTGTCTTCTACCTTGCTTGTTAATTCATCCCATTAGAGCTGTGTTTCCTTTGGGATTTATGCCTTACCCCTGGTTGCCAACAACACCCGTTCCATCCCTCAGCCTGAGTGTCCCACATACCAGTAAATAATCCTGAGCAACCTGGGCTAGTGGAAGGTGTCCCTGCCCATGGCAGGGGTTTGGAACAAGATGAGCTTTAAGGTCCCTTCCAACCCAAACTGTTCTAGGATTCTGTGATAATATTTCCATGCAAAACCAGCCAAACTCCTCTGAGTGCCCCTTTCTGTCTCTCATAGTCTTCAAGTTTTAATAATGCAAATATTTCATGAGAACATTTAAAGCACTGCTCTAACTCTGAAGGCACTTTGAAGCTGTTCCCAGCCTTGGTGTTAAGTTTAAGCACTAGACGCTGGTCATCCTGTTAAGTTTGAATTTGGGAGTCTCTTCCAAAATGTTAATTGGTGCTCTTGATGGGCTTTCCTCATATCCTGGCTGGAAAGGACTCAGCAAATGGAATGTTTAATGAGAAAGTTCTGCTGCTTTCCTTCAGAGCAGGGTAATGGTTGGGAAGAAGAATGTGCCACTCGTGTCTCTTTTTTTCCCACATCTCAGCTCCTGGTGCTGCACTGAATTCTGCAGAGTGCCTGGGAGTGCTGGGCATGGGATTGTCCCTCTGGCCCTACACAGAAGGTACATCCCAAACAGCAAAGAGGAGGAGGTGGTTTGTTCCCAGTATTACTCCACAGGGGATTTAACACAGTTTCTCTTAAAATTGAGCTAGTTCAGTATTTCTTAGCAGCAGCCTGTGTGGGGAGCATGGACTGAGTCAGGGAAGTCCAGCAAGTGTAAATTGGAGAGTGCAGTAATTGGGATAAATTGGTTCATTCCACGTGCCTGTAACTCATCATCCTGTAACTGTCACTCTGCACTTCAGAGGGATCCTGGAAGCAGCAGCCCTAGGATGCTGATTTTCCTGATGGTTACAACCTGAATGCAAGGAAACAGCTTTCCAGGGGGCTGTGCTGACAGGTTTTATGTATTTATTCATATATTTACCTCCTGTGGGTGAAATGGGGGGGCAGGAGATTAACTCTCCCACGTGGAATGCAGCTGGTTGTCTTATACTTCCATGGGAAGCTGGGAGTTTTAAGTTGGAAGATGTAAGGCTCAGGTTGAGGCTCATCCCAGGGCTTGCTTTATGTACTTAAGCTTGACATAAACCAGACCTGCTGCTGAAAGAAGTTTTCTTCTTTTTGGTTATTTTGCAGATCCTGTGCTTGGGCTGCTGCAGCCTTTGTGTGGCTGTGATTTGGTGTGTTCCGTAAATAATAAGAAGGATTCTTATCTATTATATTCCACACATAATAAGAAGGATTTCCATCCTTTCTTCCTACCCCAAATCCCTGCTGATCCTGTGCCAGCCCAGCTCACAAACCCTGCAGTCAGGCCTATCTCTGCACTTTATTTTATACCCACCACACCTTGCAGAGTCTTAACCATGTGAGTCTGAACATGGGATTGCAGGTGCAGGATAAACACATCCCCTCCTTAGCAGCCACTTGCCATCTGTGCTGTTGGAGACACACAAAGCAATAGTTTTGATCTGCTGTTGGCAGAATGTTTTTAATACCAGTTTTATGCCTTGCTGCTCTCCCTGGGCAGCTCTGCCTTGCAGATAAGGCCTCTGTGGTTTTTTTTTCCCCTGATCTCTTCTTTCAGGGTTTTGACATTTGTAGAGCCTGCCAGTGTTTCCAACTGCACAACCACTGCAGCTCTCCCAGGATGGCTGAGGAAAAGGCCAAGGAGCCTGTTTGTTTTCTCTTCCTCACTTTGGCAAGAAATGCTGCAGTTGAGCTGCTTTCCCTGGGAATTGGATGTCAGGGGAGTTGGCTGCTTGGCACTGACACATTTTGGCCCCAAACCAGTCATAGAATCATGGAAGGGTTTGGGTTGGAAGGGACCTCAAAGCTCATCTCATTCCAACCCCCTGCTGTGGGCAGGGACACCTTCCACTGGACCTCATGGGTGGAGCCAGTGTCCAAACACCTGCAGAAAATTAGGCTGTAATTAAAATAAATAAAATTGATTTACAAATAAAATTTGTAAAAGATGTAGCTTGGCTCTGCACTGGAGCCCTTCCTTTTCCTTGTCCCTGGGAGCAGTAGATCCCTGGGAGCTGCCACTCCTGCCAGTGCCCCCTCACTGGCTCGTGCTGCCCAGTCTGTCCCCTCAGAGCTGGCTCAGAGGTTGGGGCTGAAGGATTATGTGGCAGCTTTTTTGGAGGACAGAAAAAACAGACTGAGAGATGGGAATGACCTGGAGCTGTGTCAGGGCAGGCTCAGGTTGGATCTCAGCCAAAGGTTCTTCCCCCAGAGGCTGGTTGGGCACTGCCCAGGCTGCCCAGGGCAGTGGGCACAGCCCCAAGGCTGCCAGAGCTCAGGGAGGGTTTGGACAATGCTCTCTGGGATTGTAGGGGTGTCCTGGATGGTCCCTTCCAGCTCAGGATATTCCAGGATTCTGTGAGCTGGATTGTTTGGTGTTCCCCAGGGCAGCCTGGAGCTGTGCTGAACTCCTGGGCTGGAGGGGGGAACCCACACCTTAATTACTGCAACATAACTGTGCTCACAGAGGGAGCCTGTCCCTCCCCATCCCTGCTCTGTAGTGTCTCTTTAGCCTGATTGCCTAAATGGAGCTGTGCAAGTGGCCAAATCTTTTAATCAATTAGAGCAAGAGAGGATTCTGAGGCTTCCTGACACCAAACTGCAGCACAGTCACCAGACAGAGCTCCTGGGATGAGCTGATCTGACTGTCTGAAACCCAGTCAGTTATTGTGGAGAGGTGGAACAGCAAAATCAGATTTAAATTAATAGAGTTTATTACTTTTGCATCTGAGGAGGAGGCAAAGCAGACAGAGTGAAATATCCTGTGGAGGAATTGGCTCATATTTCTTGTGCTGTAACTTTGTTTATATCTGTACCTGAAGGTTTCAGGTTTACAGTAGAAAACAGCTGAAGTTCTTCTGTACACACACTAAATAAGTGTGTGGCCAAAAGCCAGTGATCACTGGAAACCCTGCAAAATGAAGAGATTCAAAATGGATAATCTCTCCTAGGAGAACTACTTCAGGTCATTAAAAAATGAAGAAGAAACTGAAAACAGATTAAAACAAAAGCTTCTCCTCAATAAGTAACTTGACTCCAGAGGCTCAATCCTTCAGGGAAATGGGGAGTATTGTGATATCAAAGGAGTTGTCACTGCAGGTTTGGAAAACTTGGAACGTCAGAGAGTCTCTGCATCTCCAGCCACCAGTCCTTGCTCTGCTGAGTTGTTGCTCTTTTCTCCCTGGTTATTGTTTTATTTACAGGAGTGAGGTATTGTGACGTATTGTTTCCTTCACATTTGGTTCTTCACTGGTTTGTTGATTTTGGGCCTTCCAGGAGCTCTTGAAATAACCCTATAAATGGGACAAGAATCATGGAATGTCCCCAGTTCATGGCCCTGTCAGTGGTAAAGAGTCTCGATGCTCTGCCAACTCAGTAATCACAGGCATTTCTGGGAGAAAATGTTCCTCAGGTGAAATGGGATTGGAATCTCTGATTTTCATCCTGTAGCACTGTGCATTTTTCTGGACCTGGGCTGGATGAAGGCTTCTGTAGTTGTCACTCTCAGCTCCCAAATTTCTGGCATTGGTGGGGAATATATTCAAATTATTGGCTGGGAGATGCTCACGTGGGTTGGGGTAGTTCCTGCGGGGGGCTGGTGCCCAGGCACCAACTTTTTGGTGTGTTTTGACACTCAGATTAGTTGTGAAATGGTCTTGGAGGCTGTGCCAAGCAGGATTGTGCTGGAGGGGATGGGATGGGGGGACACAAGCACATGGCAAACACCTGGGAGGTGCTGAGCATCATTTTTTGGGAACTGCTCTGCAAAAACTGAGCATTTCCTGGAGTTGGGATGTATTTTCTTCATCAGGGAGCAGCTTCTGTCCTTAAGATTTCCAAAGTGTCAGTTGGAAGAGGATCACAGAATCCTTTTGGTTGGGAAAATCCTTGAGTCCAGCCATTCCCTCAGCACTGCCAAGGCCACCACTGACCCATGTCCCCAAGTGCCACATCCACTGTGTTAAACCCCTCCAGGGATGGGACTCCCCCACTGCCCTGCCACATGAAGACTTCCATGAAGAAATTTTCCCTACTGTCCAATCTGAACCACCCCTGGCACCCTCTGCTACTTTGAGCCAACTTATCCACCATGCTCTGGGGTGACTGAACCATCCCAGAGAGTTTAAATATCTCTAACCTGTTCTCTTCCCAGCCCAGTCTGTGCTCTTCCTCTTGCTCTTAGGAAAAAGCAGAAGAAAAGCTGCAAAGAGGTTTCTTGTCATCCCAGAGGAACATTAAACGTGGGTTGCTTGTGCACTGGACAAGCTTTTTCCTTGTTCCTCGTTTTCCTCCTCCCATCATTTCAGGGAGAGTCATCCTTGGGAGCCCTTTTGTGTGTCCTTTTCTAGTTGTGTCTGATTTTTGCCCTTCCCCTCTCTGAGGTTGCCCCTGTGTTCCTGTGCTGGTTTTGTTTGCAGCTGAGGGATCACAAGGTTGCAGAAGAGCAGGTTGGGTTTTGTTACCCTTTGTATCTTTGCTTTTTATTGCTGCAGGTTGTGCTTCTGCCTTAATGGGGTTTAAAAACCTGCCAGTTCTCCTCAACTCCTTTGCCCTTAAGCTCTTCTCCTCTGGGATCTCCCCTGATGGTTCTCAGGGTTCACTGAAGATGCTTCTTGGACTCTCTTTAATTTTATTCTACTCTTCCCCTCCCTGAGAAGGATGTGCTCTGTCCTTTCCTGGGCACTGCCACCAGCACTTCCTTCATGTTCACCCCCAGGGATCACCAGCTCTGGAGCAAATGATACTTTATCCCCGAGTTCCACTTGCCCTCAAAGATTCTTGGAAGGCTTTAGTAATCCTTTGAAGAAGGCACAAAGCAAAAGCAGATTTATTAAACCAATCCCCAAGCCATTGGGATGGGGATGCACATCCACCTTCACAGAGGTCTCAGGGACTGCCAGGGACACTCTGGGAATGCTGTCACCTAATCCTGGTGGATCACAGGTCTGATAACACTGCTGGATGGTCAGCCAGGGAAAATTGGGAGCCAGCTGGGAGATTCCCACCGTGTTTGCTGCAGTCCTGCCTCACTCCATGGTGGTGAGATGCTGCAGCAGTGAAATGTCTCTGAAGGATCAAAGCAAACCTGTTTCACACTTGGAATCTCTGCTAAAATCAAGGGTTTCTGGTGTGTGTGGCTTTGGGTGGGATTTCTTTTTTCCTTGTGTTATTTTGGGAGGGAAGGAAGGAATCCCATACACAGGTACCAGCTCTAGACTTGAGTCACCAGTGAGGCAGATGATGAGGAGGGTCACAGAGCCTGGGGGGGAATGGGAAGGTGACAGTGGAATCCTGTGTGTTCTGGGGACCATCAAACAATCTCAGCCACAAGGCATTGCTTTTTTTATGCTCCTATTAGCAGAGAAACTCCTTTTTTGCCAAATAAGCTGCTTTGTAGACATGACCTGCTATGTTTATTAAACAGTTAGGACGTGTTCAAAATTCAGGGCCTGTTGGACACCAACAGCTGTCCAGGGTGTATCCAGAGCTTATTGATTTTCTGCCAACTTGCCCTATAAAATATACAAGGTACAAGTTATGTAGTTAAACATGTAAGAGTTTTATAAATGCATTTTATAGCTGACATTCAGAAAACTTGCCATGTTGGCAGATAAGGGAGAAAAAGGGGAAATTCAGAAAGCAAAGCTGTTTTGGCTTAAAGGATCCTTGAGGTGGTGAAGTTTGGGAGCAGTGCTTGGATCTTTGCTCTTGAAGTAGATGAAGAAATGTTTGAGCTAAAAGGCTGGGTTTAGTGAGGCTAGGTCTGGAATTTGGGCTTTAGCACTGGCAGAGTGTGCAGCTGTAGGTTTTCACTTGGAGAATCCCAGAATGGTTTGGTTGGAGGGACTTTGAAGCTCATCCAGTCCCACCCCCTGCCATGGGCAGGGACACCTTCCACTATCCCAGGTTGATCCAAGCCCCGTCCAACCTGGCCTTGGACACTCCCAGGGCTGGGGCAGCCACAGCTTCTCTGGGCAACCTGTGCCAGGGCCTCCCCACCCTCACAGAGAACAATTTCTCCCTAATATTTCATCTACTCTTAGTTTGAATCCGTTCCCCTCTGTCCAAAGTCAGTGAGAGTCTTTTACTTTTCTCCAGTAAGCCACTTCATCCTGAGAAAGTACTTCCCTGTCTTTCCTCCCTTAGTTAAGTGCTGGGATCATGTCCTGATGTCCCTGGAGCTGGCAGGCTGAATGCAGCAGGAACCTCCCAGCCCTCTCCTTGGCTGCCTTCCAGGGCTGCTGGAGAGTGGGGCTGGAAACAGGGGGCACCGGGGCAGAAATCTCAGTGTCAGGGGGATATTTTGCTTGGTCTTGTTTCCCTGTCCAGAGCTGTGTTAATCCAACAGCTTCTGTGACAGACACTGCCAAATGTGCTGCTCTTTGCTCAGTGGATTATTCCGAGTGCAGTGGGGCTGGGAGGGAAAAAGGAAGGAGCTGTTGCAGCATGTTTTGGAAAGAAACAGTAAAGATGGAGAGAGAGCAAGGACATTCATTGACTTAAGATGATCCTTAAAGGCTGATGGTCCCTGTTAGGTGCTGATCCAAATGCAGCAGGAGTGGGGGATTGCTCAGAGCAGGGGACAGGCTCTCTCTGGGCTGTGTTTGTCAGGTGGGGCCATGATGGGGACCAACCAGTTGCTTGTGATGTCTCCTTTGCTGGTCAGGATGCAGGTTGTTTTCCCAGCTGACTTACAATGGTTTTGTGCCATCTTCTCATGCTAATAAATAAGAAATGGGGAGAAACTCTGCAGACCTTCCAGGTGCTTGTGTGGATTTCCCTGGGTGGGCTTTTGCTGGTTTTGGGTGCAATGGTCCTTTCCAGGCAAGGTTGGCTTCCTAACCCAACGTGCTGTTCCTCAGAGGGAAGATCTGTGGGGTTTCTCCTTCAGTCTGGGACATGAACCACATCCACCACTGTGGTACAGTGCAGACTTCCTGCTCTCAGAGTTTGAAGCATCCTGCCCTAATGTGCCTTGTTGCCACAGCACAAAACAAAGACTGGATTAGAAACAAATCCTGTCCTTCTCAGGGTGGTGGTTGGTGCCTTTAAAATGGAACTAAAGGTGTCCTGGGACCTTCCTTCTCCAGAGCTTTCTGCAGCCGTGGTCAGAAGAGGAGGTAGAACCAGTTTTCCTTTCTTCACAGAGGTTTTCGTGGCTGCAGAGCATCATTTTAGCTTAGAAACCTTTCACCTGGGGTTCAGAATAGGTATGTTAAGTTTAATAGAAGCTGCAAGGTCCATTTTTCCCCTCTGGGGAGAGCAGAGCCTGGAAGGAGAGAGGTATGAGAGTGGTGGTCAAGGATGACTCCCAAAAGTTGGGTCAGCAGCAGGATGTTGCTGGGAATTTCTCATGGCTTTTAATGTTGTTAAACACTGCCAGAGGTGGCAGGTGGGTCCTCCCAGGTGTGTTCAAATGCCAGTGAGTGCCTTGTCTCCTCTCCCTGCAGACACCACACGAACCCCGTGGGCACAGAGTGGCGCTGGAAGATGGACCAGCCCGAGCTGATCCTGCAGGAGGCCATTGAGAACCACCAGAACATGATCAGGCAGTTCAGAGGTAACTTCTCCTCCCACCCCATCCGTGGTGCTTTGAGGAGACAACCAGCAGTGGCACCTTCAGAGCCTGGGGGAGAACATTCTGGTCATCTGGGAGGGAGATGTGAGGTGTGGGACATCACAGAGATGGGAGGGAAGAAACTCCTGTGGCACATTTATTGTTTTCTGAGCTGTTTGACCTTTCCCTCAGCCACTGGGTGTCTGGTGCTGCCTGCAGGGGAGGAGGGGAGTTGCACCTTGGTGGTTGTTACATCTTTTCCCTTGGTGAGCACAGAGATTTCCACAGTGGTTAAACTGGTTTGGATGATGGGGAATCTTGGCTCTTCTGTACAAGTGAGGTTAAAAGTGATCAGGAAATACCCAGCCCTAATCCCCTGCTTTTGTGTTAATTCTGAAACTTCCAGGTTGTGTTTTCCCATTAATAATTAAGCAGCAGCATTCAGGGTATTCCTGTTTTCAGGAATTCTTCAAACAGCTCTTTCTGACTGAAGCTGCAGTTATCCCCTCTCAGTAGCACTGCTTTTCCTTCAAATAGGAACCTGTTGTGAGTTGGATGTTTGTTCATTCTGTCTCTGTATAGACATGGCTGTTTTTTGAGAGGTTTTATTTGATTTCCCAAATGTGATAAACTTGGTTGGGTTTGATATCTTAGGGACCTTTTCCATGATTCAGTGAGTGTAAGCAGTGGAAGGTTCTGGAGGAGTCTGTAACCCCCTGTCAGCCCACGCTGAACCCACAGACCCACCTGCTGTGGTAGAACAAGGGACACAGACTTGGGGTTCTGTTTGGAAGGGTCAGCTCAGACATCAAAATCAGCTTCTTCAGCCAAGGTGGTGCCCAGAGGGTTGGGAGAGTCTCCAACCCTGAAGTCTTTCAAGTCCTTTAAGTAAAGCCTTTATCACCCTGGACTAAGGAATAACCTTTTCTTTCCTTTACTACTCCCTGCTCTCTTCCCAAAAAGGGCTGGGAACAGGGAATCATTAGGGACAGACTTGTCAGCATCTGAAAATATTGCTTAAGTGTCAAGAGGCCTGTAAGGACATCCCAATTCTCTCCTTTGGGAGCTTCTTCTCCATTAAACAAATTCATAAATATTCCCTGAAATGTGCCTGTGCATCCTCAGCACAGTTACCCTTGACCTGGAACTGTGAAAGGAGAAAGAGCAGGGGGGGAAAAAATGGTTCTGGACTAGAAATGAGCTGCAAAGTGGGAAAAGAAAAGCTGTGTTACTTTTTTCAGAGTGATAGATGGCAACATGCTTCCTGCCTTGGGAGCCAAAGGTTTATTAAGGGGAAGAAAAATCAGTAGGAAAAGCCCAGGAGCTGCTGTTCCATGTTGGGGATGTTACACTGTCGCTTCCCTGGGGTGCCTGTGGAAATATTGTTGGAGCAGAATCAATGAAAGCAAAATGGAGCTGGAGCAGTGTGGGGGGAGCTGAAGCAGGGGCAGGGAAAGGATACAGGAAGGGATGGAAGTCCCCAGTGGGCTGTGCCAGGCTGGAGCTGCCTCGGGCACAAAACATGGCCATGTCTTTCCAGCCAACTTAGCAGCTCCACAAACAGCAGATGGATTTTATTGGGATTGATTTTTGAAACAAAAAAAACCCCCATCAGAACCCCACAAACCACCCCAGGGCTTAAGCAGTGAGGAGCAGGTTGTTGTGGCTCTGTCCCTCTGTGCTGGCACTGCTGGGGGATCTCGAGGGCTGGGGACAGTTTTGGGCCCCTCCTGACAAGAGAGACACTGAGGGGCTGGAGTGTGTGCAGGGAAGGGGCTGGAGCAGCAGGAGCAGCTGAGGGAGCTGGGGGGGCTCAGCCTGGAGAAAAGGAGGCTCAGGGGGGACCTTCTGGCTCTGCAACCCCCTGACAGGAGGGGGGAGCCGGGGGGGGGGTCGGGCTCTGCTCCCAGGGAACAAGGGACAGGAGGAGAGGGAACGGCCTCCAGCTGTGCCAGGGGAGGGTCAGGTTGGATATTGGGAAAATTTCTCCATGGAAAGGGTTGTCCTTCCCTGGCCCAGCTGCCCAGGGCAGTGGGGGAGTCCCCATCCCTGGAGGGGTTTAAAAACTGTGTAGTTGTGGCCTTTGGGGACATGGGTTAGGGGTGGCCTTGGCAGTGCTGGGGGACAGGTTGGACTCCATCTTGGAGGTCTTTTCCAACCTCAGTGATTCCATGATTCTGCAGCACTGACTGGGACTCCAGAGGAACTTCCAGCAGGGCTGAGCTGTTTGACCCCCAGAGCAGAACAGACAAATTTGGGCTCCTGGAGAATAAAACCATGGGGAAATATCTTACCTAGAGATCCCTCAGGGCTTGAGCACCCAGTGATGCTGCTCAGGTGATGCCCAAAGCCATTTGAATAAATTGCTGCTGCCCTTTGTAGTCCCAGTGCCATCTCCACGTGCCAAAGGAACTGCTGAGCTCATCTGAGGAGCACCAGGAGGATCAGAGGGATGGAGCAGCTCTGCTGGGAGGAAAGGCTGGGAGAGCTGGGATTGTTCAGCCTGGAGGAGAGGAGCTTCAGGGAGACCTGACTGGTCTTTCAGTGCCCGAAGGCGCCAACAGGAAAGATGGAGAGGGACTGTTTGCAAGGGTCTGGAGTGACAGGACAAGGGGGAATGGCTTCCCACTGCCAGAGGGGAAATTGAGGTTGGATATTGTGAAGGAATTGTTGGCTGTGAGGGTGGGGAGGCCCTGGCACAGGTTGCCCAGAGAAGCTGTGGCTGCCCCTGGATCCCTGGAAATGTCCAAGGCCAGGTTGGACGGGACTTGGAGCAACCTGGGCTGGTGGAAGGTGTCCCTGCCCGTGGGAGGGGGTGGGACTGAGTGATCTTTAAGGTCCCTTTCCAACTCAAACCATTCTGGGATTCTGTGAGGCTTTATTAATTCCATGCATTGAAGTAGAAATGATATTTTCTTTGAAGGAACAGAAGAATTCTCGTGTCCCTTTATCCTTTAGGATATCCTGGAGGAGCAGCCCTCAGTTCTCTGAGTCCCTCTAATATATCATGTTCTCCTTTATTGTTGCCATAGTTTGTGCTGGTTTTGAAGACCACAGACATTAAAGTCACATAATTCTCTCTTAGAGTAAGTGATGGAGAGAAATATTACTGCTATGGAGTGAAGGTGGGAAGCAGTTCAGTTGATGGATACATTTTTCCAGGGAGTGACTGGTAAATCTCTCTGCCCTTGCAAAGGGCACACAGAGAATGGAAACATAATTCAGAAATAGGAGAGTGGGAGTCTCTGATAATACAGCCCAGGGAAAAGGAAAAAAAAAACCAAACAAAAATGCATGACCTGTGCTGGGAAATCCTGAGAGTCCCTGAGGGTAAAAACAGCCCCAAGTGCAGGAGAGTTCCTGCCCTCCTGGAATAGCACTAATGCTGTGCAGCTTATGCCTGCCTGGCTGGTGATTTGTACCATCAAATGTTTGCACACAAACCCTCTCCCTCCTCTGGGCTGTGTTTGCTGTTCAGCAGATTTGGTGTAAACTGTTTTGAGAAAGTTCCACTCCAGCTTTAGGTGCTGTTGGAATTTTCTTCTCTCTGCTTACAAAGCTGCCATGGTAATTATGGGAGTCCAGAGGAGAGATGCTGAGAGAGGGGAATTAATTAATTCCAAAAATGACTTACAGTAGCTTTAGAAATACCAAAGTTAGTCCTTTAATCTCAGTGTGTGGTTCAGATGCTTCTTTCTTTTCAAATAAAGCTCTCATTTAGTACTGTCAAGTTTCTATGGAATAACCATTAGTTCTGTCACTGGCTCAGGACTGAGCCTGGCTGGTTTAAAATTCACTAAGCTCTGCTCTGATTCCAAATCAGCTTTTTTCTACGTGAGGCTGCAGCAATATCCACAAACACCCCTTTTTATCTGGGCTTTGCAGCACAGGGTGGAATTTTCTGTGCTGCAGCATCAAGGCAACGAGAGGTGAGCTGAGGACCTGGATCCACACTCAGGGCTTTGTTTTTTTTATCTTCCAAAAAGACCAGCCCCCAATGTAAACCCTCAGATATTATTGGAGGACATCAAGGCACATCAAGGAAATGTGAGGTGACATATTTGGAGCAGAGGCTTGTTTGTAGTCGGGTGATCCCACGCGGGGTCCTGAGCGCTCGGGCAGGGCTGGGTGGGCTGGAGGAGGGTTTTCCTCCCCTGGGAATCGTGACCTCAGGTGGGTCAGACCTGCAGGTGGTGTTTTCACATGGATGCTACAGTTGAGCTCCTTGTTTTCCTCTTCCTTCTGAAATCCCTCTGGCTGTTCAGGGCC